AACAAGCTCTAAAATGCAAGAGTATGCCATGCATGCAATAATTAAGCTTCAATTCAACACTTTTGAACCAATTCATGACTTAACTCTTTAATCTACCATGATCCATGCTAGAAGGAACTTAAATACACAATAAGGAGGATGAAATTCATACCTAGGTTCCTCAATTACAAGTCTAGAGGCTCAATATGCAAGAATCCTTCAATCTCTACAAGACTCTAAGCCAAATTGTGAAGAACTTAAGCTTTCTCTACCTCTCACTCTCTCAAGTCGGCAAGAACAAGAAATGGACTGATGAAATGTTTTGTTAAAGTGTTGTGAGGCTCAAATATAGTCTAGGTAGTGGGCCACTCATGTGGCAAAATGGTAATTACGCAAACTCTAAGCTTATCTTAATATAATTTAATCATACCAAATCACATTTTAGATAAATACGCCATAAAATCATATAAATTTTAAGGATCACAAATCATCAATTAATTTCATATTCGGCCGCCGATAAGGCCTTCAATTCGCAATTTAAACACAAAGGCATGAACAGATAATCAAACAGTCAACAGATAAACATACAATTAAACATATATACTTAATCAATTCAGTTCCAGATTTCAGTCAGTCAGTTCAGTACTTCAATCAATTCAGTTACCAATCATAATCAGTCTCAGTTTAGCAGTAATCAGTGGTTAATCGGTAAACAGTGACGAGGGTTGTTACAGTTGTCCGAGACCGGCCTGATCACATTGAGCTTGGACCGAGCTAACCAGCAGCAAGGATCTAAGGAAAGCTCAACATACTTCGGCCCGGTATACTATGACTGAGCTAACTGTCATCGTGGCGACCGTGGTGACCGAGCTAACCACCAAGGCTCTTCTGGACCGGACTAATTACAAGGCCCTTTTTACTCAGCCCTTCTTACTGCAGTCCACAAAATGGCCCATCACCTAGCTCGGCCAAATTTCCACATAAATTACCCTCTCATATGTGATGACGACGATGACGACTCAGATCTACAAATCTAAGCTTTGCCTCAATGTTGTTGTTGATTACTATTATTGTTGTTGTTGTGATAGATTTGGATATGTGGAGATTTCATATCATATCCATATCTTTAAAATTTATTTTTAGTTGTTGATTATTGTTGTTGTTGTTGTTGATGTTGTCGATGTTGATGATGATGATGATAAAGAAACAAATTTGTTGAGTAATTTTGAGAGTTGCAAGGTTTTATGCCCTTTTCAATCACTGTAAACTCTACTTTCATGGGGTTTAGGCCATTCCCGTTGGGGATTTTTTAGGGTCGGGAAAACCTGATCCTCGTTAGGGGCCAGAGGGCGCAGGAGGGAGGGTGATGGGTTCGTCACTGGGGATCGGGGGAGGAGATGAGGAATTCCATACTTTCGAGGATCCCTAGCCTCACCCCGGCCCGTTGCTATTCCTACATCCCACTCGTCCCAGACTCCACAATACATGGGTTAAATTTGAATCATATGCATTGTCTTTATTGGTCATTTTCTATGCACCAATTTTGTGCACAAAGCTTTGAGAAATTATTTGGTAGTCTGAGTTGGATCCACAAATTTGTGTTAAAGGACAGTCGAATAAAAAATTATGTAGCATTCTAAAAATACTATGTGGTTGTGTATCCAACCAATTATGTTTGTCATTTAATATGACAACTTGACATTTAGAACAAAACACAATGATTTGTTTTGGGAAGAATTAAAAAAAGTAAAAAATTCAAAAAATTACTTAAAAAAAATATAAAAAATTATTTTATCTCTACTTTTCATACTTTTTTTTTTTTTTAAGAAGTTAAAAAATCCTTCAAACATACTAATTTTTTTTTACCTCCTATTTTAAGCAAGGGTATTTGAATCATAAATCCAAATTTGTATTTTCTTTGTCCAAAGATTCAGGTGCTAAAATACTATGTCCATAAGGACAAATTTTTTGTGAAATGACCAAACTACCCATATTTGTTTTGCTTAAAAGCTCATGTGTTGCTTACAAAGTACAATGGCTCTCTATCTACACAAATTCACATGTCTTTTTCTCTCTCACTCCGCATCTTTCTATCTATCTCCAGGTTTTCCAGAGTTCAACATCAAACAAACAACCATGTCTTCTTTCGCGGTGGCAGTGGCAGTGGCAGTGGCAGTGGTGGTGGCTTCTCCCTTACCTTACCGAAGACGAACATGCTGCTTCGCCGCCACAACTGCTCATCCAATCCCAAGCCAAACCCTAGACCCGATCTCCCTTTCGTTGTAATCACCTTCACCTCTCTCTCACTAAAGTCACCCTCTTCTAGTACTTTGTGTCATCGTCTCTCTTTATCTCTCTTCGTTGTCACCTCCACTCTCTATTTCTACCTCTAAGATCGACGAGGCACACCAAGATTGAGACCTATGAACACCCCAAGATCAATATCGAACCACCACCTCTGAGATCGCCATTCCTCTCTCTCTCTCTCTGCTCTCTATCTACACAAATTCACATGTCTTTTTCTCTCTCACTCCGCATCTTTCTATCTCTCTCTAGGGTTTCCAGAGTTCAACATCAAACAAACAACCATGTCTTCTTTCGCGGTGGCAGTGGCAGTGGCAGCGGTGGTGGCTTCTCCTTACCTTACCGAAGACGAAACATGCTGCTTCGCTGCCATAACTGCTCATCCAATCCCAAGCCAAACCCTAGACCCGATCTCCCTTTCGTTGTAATCGCCTTCACCTCTCTCTCACTAAAGTCGCCCTCTTCTAGTACTTTGTGTCATCGTCTCTCTTTATCTCTCTTCGTTGTCACCTCCACTCTCTATTTCTACCTCTAAGATTGACGAGGCACACCAAGATTGAGACCTATGAACACCCCAAGATCAATATCGAACCACCACCTCTGAGATCGCCATTCCTCTCTCTCTCTCTCTCTCTTTGTGCTTTTGGCATCATCGCCTAGGTGACATCTCTTTTTTTTTTTTAATTTTTTTTTAAATATCTCTATCTGCAACTGCAAAGCATTTAGTGCGTTTCCTTGCTGGTTCATTCTTTTCTTCTTTGCAGATCTAAGTATTTTGGATTTTTGGATTTTTTTTAACGATTTAGCTTAGTTAAGCTATGGAAATTTAGGCAAATAAAATCGAAGGATTTTTCATTTTTTGAATATGATTTAGCTGCCATTGCTGACAACTCTTATGCTTGTGCTTGTTCTTGATCTTTTCCACTCTCTTTTTGTGTTGTGTAAGTGTATTTTGATCTTGATTTGTGGGGATTGAATTTCCTTGATGTTGTCGTTGTCATCGAAATTGGTTTGTTTTTTTTCTTTTCTTTTCTTTTGTTGTTGTTGTTGTTGTCCAACAGATGATCTCTATTTTGTTGAATCTGATTGTTTTGTTGGATAGATCTGTTGATTATATATATATTTGTTGTTTTGGACAAACCTGTTCAAAAATTTGGATAGATAATAAAATTTGAACAGATTAAATTCAATAGATAGAGAGCGAAAAAAGAGATGTAAAAATCAACAGATAATGAGAGAAAAGAGAAGTGGAGAAAGGAATAAATAGAAAGAGTTTGAAAATGGTATAAATTTGAACCGATAGAAAAAAAATAGGTTAAAAAAATTTAACAGATAAAAAAATATTTGAAAAAATAGTTAAAAAATTTGAATAGAAAGATAAATTTTTTTTTGATCCAATAGATTGAATAGAAAGTCAATAAATAAATTAATGGCTAAAAGTGAAAATAAAATGTCATTCTAGAACAATAATAAAAGGACTTATTAGTAAACTATTTCACGACCTCACAAATAAAAAAATATTCACTTGCCATAATGCCTTATATTTTATTTACCTGAAATTTTCAACAATTTTCTCTTTAAACAGAAAGTTAAAAATTATTAAAATAAATCTATTCCCAAACCAACCCTCAATAATTTTTATAAAGATTTATTGTTATTGGATTGTTTAAAATCTTACCAGCTTTGTAAGGTATAAATATTAACCATAGGCTTTATTTGGAAACTATATTTTTTAAAAAGTTATTAGAAATTATCACATAATTTTATATTTTTGTACGTAATTTTATAAAAAATTAAATATCATTAAAATAGTAGGTTACAAGAAAACGAAGTATTAGAGCATTTTCAACTCATCCTCCATATCTTCAAATATAGAGAATCCTCTCTCAAAAATAACTCTAACCCATCCTCTATATCCTCTTCCATTTGGAAGGAGGATGAATTGATCCTCCAAATATAGAGGGAGGATGAAAAAATGGAGGAGACTCTAAAACATTATTTACTCTATATTTCTTTGGAAACTATATTTTTTAAAAAGTTATTAGAAATTATCACATAATTTTATATTTTTGTACGTAATTTTATAAAAAATTAAATATCATTAAAATAGTAGGTTACAAGAAAAAAAAGAATTAGAGCATTTTCAACCCAACCTCCATATCTTCAAATATAGAGAATCCTCTCTAAAAAATAACTCTAACCCATCCTCTATATCCTCCTCCCAATGGAGGAGGATGAATTGATCCTCCAAATATAGAGGGAAGATGAAAAAATGGAGGAGACTCTAAAACATTATTTACTCTATATTTCTTAATTATATTCAAAATTTTTAATGTGTAAATTTAATTTTTATAAAAATGACATCAATAAAAAGTATAAAATCATACCTTTAAAATGAGTATAATGTTAAATATGTTTTACAAAAATTTTAAAATTAAATATTTATTAATGAACAAAAATTACTTTTTGATTAGAGTTTGAATAAAAAAAATGAAAATTTATGATTAAAGTTTAAATAAATAGTGACTTCCTCTAATAAAAAATATTATTTCTCTCCTTTTCCTTTTGAGAAGAGGACGTGGTTGGATATGACCTTACTCATCCCAAAGTCGGAAATTTGTTTTTGGGTGTACAATCGCTCAAACCAATTCAACGGTCAAGATCTCACCACGATGAGGCGTACAGTCAGGATTCCGCCTTCAATTGGCTGTTTAAATCAGGCCCTGTTGCCCGCCCAAGGCCCAAACACTCAAAAATAATCAGAACTCACTATTTCCCAACTCCTCTCTACAAACTTCCCATCAATATGCAAAACAAAACCCTTCAAGAACAATTAGAATTCGAGATCACATCCAAACCCTAATCTCTCCAATTTCACCATCAACTACTCAGGTTTGATTTGCTTCACATAACCATCTCATCAATTCGTATCTTGATTTCTCGATTTTCAATCAATTGAAGAAACTGAGAATAATAGTATAATTTTTCTTGCTCACAGTTGAATTCTGGGTTTGTGGTTTTGTACAGACGGCCCTAAAATGGCCACTCGAGGCCGGAGATCGTCATTCTCATCATCGCAATCTTCATCAGAATCAGCATCAGCATCAGCATCAGCATCAGCATCAGCATCACTGATATCATCGTCTATGGCCGAGAGGCACTTGGGGTTGGAGAACCCAGGGAAGGCTATGGCAGCGAAGCCCCAATTGGGGAAGAAGCGACCAGCTTTTGCTGACCTGACGAATCAGAGAAATGGTCCTCCTAATGCTCCATGGGCGGCTGTTGTGTCAAAAAAGCCTATGGTGCGTAATTTGTTATGTGAATTGATAAAATTTATTGGTTAATTGATATGGGTGTGTGTTGCTTTCCGCATATCATTTAAATTATAGTGGCCACGTTGCTTAAAACAAAAAAAATTGTGCCAGTCAAGTGGTTAGTGTGTTCTTTATCAAATCTAAGGCGTTATGTTCTACTCTTGCCTATTTTCCAAACTTTTTTTTTAAAAAAAAAATTGAAAAATCCACTTGGCACATAGAGAAGGCAAAGCTTTACGACACCAACATATATGTTTAATGATGGACAGTTTTATGTTGTCAGTTTTTAATGGATTGTTTTAGTTGAAGTTAACAACTTTTTCTATTTGATTAGATCATACTTGAGTTTTGTTAATGAGTTGAACTGATTAAGTGCTTGTGCAAGAATTTAAACCATTGGTGGTTTCAAATTTCTTGATACAAAAATTGAATGAGAACATCACTTCCTTAATATGACAGTAGAGGAGTTTTATGATTTTCTTAATTTGTTATGTGTGCAAGTTGATGATACATTTAAACAAGAAGGGATTGAAGGCATATGGTGGACTTTATATTGTGAGGTGCTTGTTTTACTTACCAGTATTCTACCAATGCAGAAAAAGTTACGTGAAACAAAATTCGCAACCACGTACTAATTCTATTTGGAAATCAGATTGCTTTTTATTTATTTATTGGGTTTCTTCCCTCTTCATCCCTGAACTACCTATAGGAATTGCTAATGAACATGACGTCTTTTTCATTGGAAAAGAAAATGTCTTGGTATAAACTTTAAGGGTCTTGCTAACAAGTGCTCCTAGGGCGCAAGAAAAGGACAAAAATATGTCAATCTTGAGGCATTTACTACTAAATTCAATACACTTTTTATAAATTTCAAAAAATTTATAATCTTTTTATACTTTTTCAATACACTTTTTCTCACTTTCCCAATATTAACAAGTGGCATGGGGCACTTGTTAGCATTTGCCAAGCTTTAATGGTTCAATTACTAGTTAAGTTTTATACCTTAGTGACAGCTTGAGTGTCTTGAACTGTGGCGCATGAAATTCTTGTTGTTGGTCCTAGGCTCCTAGCCCCTAGGTGACTGTTCAGTACTGTTAGCAGCCTAGGCCTTGGTGGAGTTATGGGGGCTTGGTTGGGCTATACTTTAATTGATAGCAAAATTATAGAGTATGAGTTGCTGATATTGACATTGACATTGACGTAAAGTTGTTTATACTTTTCACTTTGTTATTTTTTATGCCACTTGGAATATTCTACATGGTGCTAGTTGGAATTTTATTAATTTTCCATACCGTATATTGTAATCAAGGTTTCTTTCATGGTTTTAGTTTAACCGGTTTTGGATATATGTTATGTTTTACAAACAGAAACCAGATGTACAAATATTTGTTTCAACTGAGAGGATTTAATATTTTTTATTGGATATACTGTGGTGCACATCTTGTTACACGGGCTTTACAAATATTTTGATTGCAATGGTTTTTACAAAAAAACATGCAGAGTATAGGTGATCAACCTTCTTATGTATTTTTTTTTATCCGGTAAATATAAGTGTAGGAATGTTGCTTAGCTCTCTTTTTGAAAAATAAGTCATAACAAAGGAAATAAAAAAATCCAAGCATTGTTATAACATTTTGCCAATCGGAGAATACCAGATCATCTTCCTGTCCCTGGACTTTTTTCAAATTCAAATACTTAGTTATAAAATTATTTTTTAAACTTTTGTACTGTTGGATGAGACATGTAAGCAGAATGAGATTAAAAAACATACTGTATAAAATAAAAGACGAATGAAGCCTGGGACAGGATGAACAAAATGAGATCAACAAACACACTGCCGTTTATTAGATTAATTTTACTTTGATTTGCTCTGATAATATATGTCAAGTATTTTATTTTGTTGATGCTGTGTTTAAAAGTTACAATAAAATTTAATTCTGATTTGCTATAATAATATGTAATCTGTCATTTATTTTTTTAATAGTAAAATTTTACTCTATTAAAGTTATTATTTTATTTTACTCTGTTAAAGTTATGTTTTTGTAATTGTTTATTAATAATTATAGTAACTATGGTGTGTAGTGATGATGATAGCATTTTACTATTTAAAAATTAAAAATTTATAGTAAACTTTACTGTGAATAAGAGTAAAATACGTTAATTTTGATGGTAAAACTTTCACTATTTTTTAAAAAAAAAAAAAAATTCATAGTCAACCTAGATTTTGTTTGATAAATATTGATGAGAGGATTCTAAAAATACTAATTTTATTAAAAACGATATCTAGGTCAAAAGTTATATCATTTAAAGTTTAAAATATTAAATTAGTCATCAAGGATATTTTGGTAATAGTGGTGTGTGCTGGGCTTTTAAAGGAATTTTTTTTTGTGCTTTTCCTTAATGTATTAAAGTTTTATTATGAGGGAGTTTTGATCAAATTCTCCAATCAAAAGTTCATTTTCCAAATATGGCACCTGGGCGTCTTGGTCAAGTGGCCACTTGGAATTACTCGTTAATGTATTCATTCCAATATTTTTGCATAGCATTCCAAAATTCTATACATGTACAGGGTTTTACATGATTCTAAACCTCAGGAGCATTTTTTTATTTTGTTATTTTTGTCTCAAATTTTAAAAGGTCATGATTGTGTTAGGTGATCTCTAAAGAATGGATGTATGCTTTCAAATAATTGGCAAGCTAAACATAAAAGTTTTCACTGCTGTATCCATTTGCACCCTACCTCAATCACTATAGCTGTGTGCATTTCTTTTGGTTATCAATTAGATGCACACTTTGATCATTCACTTTGTATAGATGTGGAGCATAATTTTTTAAGTACTCTCAGTTATAACAAATGCATCTATGAAAATTTGCTGCCTACATCATGCAATGTGAGATCAAGAACAAATGTTTCTTGTCAGGGTACATGTTTCCAAAGAGCTAATCAACCTGCAGTAAGTATTACTGCCTCCAGCGGTATGGATGTTTCTCCTAGCAAATCAGATGGTGGTTCAGTTTCTTTGGATGAGACTGTGTTGACTTGTGATTTTTTGAGGAGTCCAGAATTTGAAGACATAGACAACGATGATGCTTTGGCTGTCAATTCTACTGAGGGGAAAGCATGCAGTAATCTCAACATTTTGGATCCTGAGGGAATAGCAGGTTCCTTTTTCTTGGTGTATTCGATATTTTGTTGTGGAATTCATTATTCTCATTCAGTTGACTGCATTAGTACATGGGCCATGATACCTTACTAAATTTTTTGATTGCAGAATGCGAAAATTTAAACTTGTGGCATTTCTTATCTAGATTTTGTTACTTTACTTCCAGGTAACATCTGCAAGAGAGATATCCCTGTGGAGATTAAAACAGTCGATAGAGTGGTTGGCATTGATGATAACGTCACAGATCCCCAGCTCTGTGCTGCCATTGCATGTGAAATCTATAAGAACTTGCAAGCATCTGAGGTTCATTTTTTTTTCCCCCCTTGCTGCAATCTATAAGTAATCTGTTAGGCATATTGACCCACTTTCCAACTTTTTTCATCGTTTTTGGTCCCTTGAAAGTGTCTCAGGATTTCTTTGTCAATAGAAATACTGGTTTTTACTAAGGAATTTTATTTTATTGTACCTTTAATTAAGTTTGTAGGGTTAAAAACTTAAAATAGGACAACAATCTTATATAGTCTGAAAAGCTTGGTTATTGTAGTGGCAAGGCTATGGGTTTCCCATCCTATGATCCCATGATGTTAGCTGCAATGCTAAGAATTGTCATTAGTACCTTTTATTGTTGTTAATATATAAACTTTCATTCAATTCTTTATATGTGATGTGGTTACATATTCAATGGATGGGAAGCAGCCAGAATGTCAATGTGCAGCAATATTTTTCCTTAAAGACCTGAACCAATTGTCATTCTTCTTAGCTTCGTAGCTGTTCAAGTAATATGCTTTTGTTATCTCCATAATTGCAAATATAAAGTTGTAGTTAATTAAATCCCACTGAAATAAGAATTTAACCTTGAAAGAATGGTTCAAAAGTAGTTTATAATCTGGCAGTTTCTTTGTCTTTTCCCAGGAGGTGATTTTGGTGCATCCCTAACAGTTACAACCATTTACTTTTCCCACCATAAAATATATATTATAATACTATCAAACTGTGAAACTATCGAGATTTGCATGAAATTTGATGTTTACTCTGAAAAATCGATGGAACTTTGAGCTTTGAGCTTTGAGCTTTGAATCAGGCCTATAATCCTTGAATCAATCGATGTTTATTTTGAAAAACATTGAATCATGCCTATAATTCCAGAATCAGGCCTATAATCTGAAAATTTTAGAGAAATCTCAATTTTTCATACCCCGGTTCTTCAGATTTTTCAGATTTTTAAAACTTTGAGCTTTCAAAAATCTATAAATTCGAATTCAAATCTCAAAACACACAAACATACACATATATATAGATATATATATATATATATATTACAGATCGGAATATGTAGATGTATATATATTCGAATTCAAATCTCAAAACACATATATATTCGAATTCAAATCTCAAAACACACAAACACACACATATATATAGATATATATTGTCACGACCCCAAACCGCCCCTAGTAGTTTGGTGCCGTGATGGCCAGTAATCCGTGATTACCGAAGGCCAACTTCCAAAATTCACACACCATCAGAGTATAGATATAGGGGGCTCACAAGTGCGGAAGCAATGATCTGAAATACAAGTGGTCCATAAGAGCAGTGCATAAGTTAAATGAAATGGCATACATCTTTACATAGCTTTACAACTTGAATACAAATAGAAATGAAGTACAAAAATACATATTACATCTTGAAAAAAGGCTTCTCGAGCCGACATGTTCAAAATACATAAGTTTCAAAAATTGCCGACATAACCAAAAACACTTGAGCCACAAATCATGAAACATAATCTTCGGAATTGCCGACATCCTTACAGCCGACATAACATGCATACAAAACACACATCTCGGCGTAGCCGACTTCTTGCTTGTTACCTACATATACATAGGGAGGGTAAGCTTGGATACTCAGTGAATGGTATAAGTAATAAAGGGGTTAAATGAATGATTCCCGAGGTCTTTCAAAACAATACATAATATATCTTTGTCAAAACCATACTTATCATAGCTTGTACAAAACATGAGATAAATCTTGTTCATCAAACTTGATCTTACAAAACTTACATACTTCGCATGCGTCAAATCTTATATCATAACCTCGGCATAGCCTTGGTCCTTTAAAACTTACTTACTTACTTACAAGACCCACGCGGTAAACCGCCAGTGGCAAAACAAGACCAAGCAAGAGCCCGTAGCCCTTTAACGCTTGGGTGCTGCTTAAGTTTAGAGTCCTCCAGCACAAGGGACCTTTGTTACAAGAGCCCGTAGCTCTTTAACACTTGGGTGCTGCTCAAGTTTAGAGTCCTCCAGCACAAGGGACCTATGTTACAAGAGCCCGTAGCCCTTTAACACTTGGGTGCTGCTCAAGTTTAGAGTCTTCCAGCACAAGGGACCTATGTTACAAGAGCCCGTAGCCCTTTAACACTTGGGTACAAATCAAGGGTGCTGCGAAAGTTTAGAGTCCTCCAGCACGAGGGACTTTCCGAGGATGTCGTCAAAACAAAGCTTACTTGATACATTGCCATTCAAAACAAAGCTTATACTTGATACATAAAATAGGGATATCATTCATGCTTAACAAATACTTTTATCAAAACAAGACAAAGCTTTATCAAAACCTTAAGAACATAACTTTATTAAAAATACCACTCACTTTAGTTCTTGGGACGTCGGGGTCAAGGCAAAGGTCCAAGTCCTACAAACACATGGCAAAGCATACTGAACATACTTCTCAAAACAAGTCTCACATGCATGAAAATGATCTCAGAAAAACATGTTGGAAGTCAAAACATTGTTTTACATGTCAGGACGACATGCTGGGTACCAACCAAGTCTTTGTCGAGGTCCCACACCTCCTGGCCGAGGTGTGGCTACCTAGGCTTCGGCGTGCGGCTGCATGCCGAGGTGTACACAAAACAAACCAAAGGTGTAAGTGATCATGCAAGGTAGGCCAAGGTGAGATACGATGCTTGGCCTAAGTGTAAGGTCTAGGTGAGAGTGATCTCGGCGACTACACTTCGGGAAGTGTGGTCTGGAGATTTGGGTTTCCATCCATGAAGAACAGGAAGAACATGGACATGGAGATCATGAAGAACATGAATGCTAAAATCATAACTTCTTTATTACAAAAATCTGGGATTTCATGCTATGAGTTCGAAAACATGGACCTGGGTACCCATACTTGAAAATCATGCGAAAACAAACACAAAAACATGGATCTAGGCATGAGCCTTCGGATCAAAACATGACTTTTCTTGAAGAACACATGAATGCCATTTTCTCTTTCTAAAACCGAACTTCAAAGCAATGCATGGCTTACAAATCATATTCAATCATGCAATGCAATAACATAAACATAAAGAACAACGAGGGCAGACCAAGAATCTAACCTTAGAACACGGATCTAACGGTTCGATCTCTAGCGATCAAGTTTGGAAATCTACTCTCCCTCAAGAACTCTTCTTCCTTTCTTAGAGCTTCTCTCTCCTCTTCAAAACAAAGATACAACAAATGGTAAGTTTCTCTCTCTATCGGCTGATTTAACTCTCAGCTCGGACACGTGGCGACGGCTGGTTGGTTCTCCTCAAAAAGGTGATAGATTGACAGGACAAGGCTATGACAAAGCGTATCTAACAAGCTACTCGGTAAGGCACTCCGGCAATTGATGACATCGGCTAAGAACAAGGCTTCGGCAACTGAGGTGACAATGACCTCGGCTAGGAAGGACAACACTTGACTAAGTTGTGCCACACCTTGGCCTAGATGTGCCACACCTCGGTCTAGGTCATACCACTCCAGGACAAGGTCACTCAGGTGCAAAGGTAACATCTCGGCCTAGATAATACACATCTCGGCCTTGGTGATTCACACCTCGGCCTAGATAATGACATCTTGGCCAATATGTCAAGGCAAAGATGGAGGTCAAACAAAGGGGTTCCAAGATACTTCTAGACTGAAGATGACCTCGGCTTGGAATGACTTCGGCTTAACATAACTCAGGCTTGGCGTGACCTAGGCTCAGCATAACCTAGGCTTGGCATGACCTAGGCTTAACATAACTTAGGCTTGAGGCACTAAGGAGGGATCAAAGCAGGCACACAACACTTAAGCAAATCACATAGACATCAAAACAAGGCAAGATTCATGAATGCAACTTAACAAGACAAGCTATGTAAATGAACTTGAATATGACTATGACATGAATATGGGTCGCTGCAGCATCTTATCATGGCAAAACATATAAATGCATGCAAACATGACTAGGACAAAAATGTGGGTTGTTACATATATATATATATATATATATATGTATCAGCGCGATTTGCAAGTTCTCCACAGCTCCGGCCATGGAGGAAGCTAGGATTAAAAGAGAGAGACGAGATAGAAGATGAACAGTTGAAGGAGAGTTGAAGGAGGAGAGTTGAGAAGATGCAGAGAGAGATCGTCGGAGCTTAGGAATGACACAGCTCCGGCCATAGAGGAAGCTAGGGTTAGAAGTGAGAGACGAGAGAGAAGATAAATTTTGTATCTGGATTGTATATATGTGAGGGTATAATAGTCTAATAAAATATTTAAATAATAAATTTTGTCCTTTATGCAATATTTTATAATTATGAGGGGGTTTAGAAAGTATAATTTTTTTCTTAGTCCTTCTAACAATGAAAAGAAGGTAAAGGGGGTTTATAGCCAAATTTCCCATATATAAACTTACATTCAATTCTTTATATGTGATGTGGTTACATATTCAATGGATGGGAAGCAGCCAGAATGTCAATGTGCAACAATATTTTTCCTTAAAGACCTGAACCAATTGTCATTCTTCTTAGCTTCGTAGTTGTTCAAGTAATATGCTTTTGTTAGCTCCATAATTGCAAATATAAAGTTGTAGTTAATTAAATCCCACTGAAATAAGAATTTAACCTTGAAAGAATGGTTCAAAAGTAGTTTATAATCTGGCAGTTTCTTTGTCTTTTCCCAGGAGGTGATTTTGGTGCATCCCTAACAGTTGCAACCATTTACTTTTCCCACCATAAAATATATATTATAATACTATCAAACTGTGAAACTATTGAGATTTGCAAAGTTTGTAAAATTGCATTATGATATTCTGTTGAACAAACACTAGAGAGTAAAAATCGCTCATGCCAATAGGTTGATTGTGTTTTGAAATATGAAAATTGATGGAGATCACCACCTAGAGATTGATCAACAAAGATTTTATTTGCATGCATTGTCTGCTTTGGTATTTGTTGGATGGGCAAAACTAAAAATTCCAGTAGGTTGATTGTTATTTAAAATATGAAATTTTAAAGAGACCGTCACCCAGAGATTGAGCAACAAAGATTTTAGTTGCATGCATTATCTGCTTTGGTTTTTGTTGGATAGGATTTTTTTTTTTTAGTTTTGCATAGAAATAGCTGATCTCAATTATTCCTGTATATAAAATTTTGTTTCTGGAACTTTCAGTTTAAATTTGCCTGTTGTACACGGGAATAAAAGTTGGTTTCAATTTATTTCTTTGGTTTCTCTTTTTTCTAGAGAAAGAAAATGCCTCGCACAGACTATGTGGAGAGAATTCAAAAAGACATTAATGCCAGCATGCGTGCTATACTGATTGATTGGCTTGTAGAGGTAAGCCAAGCTATTGGTGACATTACCAAGTTGAATTTCTGTAATTAATCAAAAAACAGAAAGTGCATTATGGAACCAGTTCATTCCTTTAAAAAGTGGCATTCTTTTATGGCATCATAAATACCACCCTTGGTGTTATCTGGTTGTGAAAGTTTAGTCATTGTGAAGGGGACAGTTGTTTTAACCTTCTAATCGGTACTTCATTTTGTTGTTGTTTCAGATAAGCCATTTAGTAACCAGTTGTCATGGCATCTTATTGTAGGTTGCTGAAGAGTACAGTCTTGTACCTGAAACTTTGTTTTTGACTGTTAATTACATAGATCGTTATCTTTCTGGCAATGTAATTCAGAGGCAACGACTACAGTTGCTTGGTGTTGCCTGCATGATGATTGCTGCGTAAGATTTAACATTTTAGTTTCTTGTTTTTGGTTGTTCTTCTCCATCTTCTGTGTCTCTTCCTGTGTGTGTGTGTAGTGAGGAGAGAATGATAACTGATTATAGCCAGTAATATGATAATGCTGCCAGTAAATACGAGGAGATCTGTGCGCCTCAGGTGGAAGAGTTTTGTTACATCGCTGATAACACATACTTCAAGAAAGAGGTTTGGTTCTAATCTTCAGATGGATTTTGCAATTCTAGACTTCTTTAAAGTGCTTCTGTTGTTAACCTGCATTACGCAATTTAATTGCTGCAGGTTTTGCAAATGGAATCTTCGGTGCTGAATTACTTGAAGTTTGAAATGTCAGCCCCAACCGCTGGATGTTTTTTAACGTAAGGGCCACCTGTCTGATCTTTATTGAAAGTAGTGCATTTTAGTGTGTTTCTCTATTCATTGACTTGACTATTCATGCAATTCTTAGGCGGTTTGTTCGTGCCGCTCAAGGAATTAATGAGGTATTTATCTCAGACTAGTTAAGTTTCTTGGTTCCATTGCTTCTTGAGTTGATTAAAGTTTTCCATCACCTGGTAACGATGGAACCCTGAACTGTCGCATGATGTACTAATACTAGCAATATGTTTAATGGTCTCAATTGTTGATGCCATTCCATATTGTATTAGTTTGATTTGCGTGTTGATTTTGTGGTAACAATGGTGGTTGCTAAACCCTTTACTGATATGCGGTTTCTATCCCTACTTCTAAAAGGTTCCATCGATGCAGTTGGATTACCTGGCCAACTACCTTACAGAGTTATCGCTGCTGGAGTATGGCATGCTCTGCTATGCTCCATCTCTAATTGCTGCTTCTGCAATTTTTTTGGCCAAATTTATACTTAACCCGTCAAAAAGACCATGGGTAAGTGTGAAAAAATATCATAAGGCTATTGCTTATTTCTAAGCTATTTTGTTATTATATATGCTCTGATATATCCATGCAACATAGTTTAGTCCCATGTTTGTTTGGTGCAGACTTTGACCCTGAGGCATTGCACACTTTACAAGCCCTCTGACTTGCGTGACTGTGTCAAGGCAATACATCGTCTCTTCTGCAACATCCATAGTTCTAGTTTGCCTGGAATTAGGGAAAAATACAGTCAACATAAGGTGAGCAAAATCCGTGTGTGTGTGAAATACACTATATGCATGCTCCATTGTCATTTATATTTATTTGTTGTTAATATTTTTTTTCCCTATAAAAGGAAGATTCCCGAGGCCATTATCGTTTAAAGTGTTGTATTGGGTATAACTTGGAAAGGATTGGACAAATACATGACTTTTTTCTTATATGACAAACATTGATGCTATGTTTGGATCTTGAATTTGTGGAGGGATGGGAAAAGAAAAAGATGCTAAATCTTCTCCTTTTTTTTTTAGTAGTTGTGTTAAGAAAATGGATAGGTATTTTTTTAAAAAATTCAGTTTTTGTTTGGTACTTGTGTCTAAGTAATTTCTTTTTCCTTTCCTTCACAAATCCAATATGCTAACAAAGAGTGTCGGTGGTTGTAGTGAAAGTATGGTGGCATTCCACAATTGAAGAGAGATTTAAGTAATATTGAAATATATGAAATTGTAGATATTGAAATCTCCCATTGATACTGACTCACTTCTTTGCATCAGTACAAATTTGTTGCAAAGAAGAACTGCCCTTCCTCAATACCTCAGGAGTTCTTTATTGACCTCAGCGACTAGACATCCGGTTTTGTTCAAATGTTCTGTTGGATAGAGTCGGAAGTAATTTGCCTTTGACAGCTTGTTTTCTTCGGATGTAAGAACTCATTTTTTGCCCGTATCTCATTTTAATTCTCTCTTGGCCATAAATTTACTGTGGTCATAGCCTTGTACATCTGGTTTTGTCGATTAGAATTTTTTTAATTTACCCCAATGCTCAACATGCACATTGTAGTTTCTTTTCAAGGTTAAAGTTCTTCAGTTTAAAGCTCTTGTGATGTTTGAAGCTGTTACTCTACGTTTCAAGCAAATGATTCACTGAATTTTTTTTGTACCCGAATCACTGATAAATATGCCACTAGATGGGGCTGTAGTGATTATTATGAATTTAATACTAGTGTATGTGATTGATTTTTTTTTCTTTTTTAGTATAAAATAGAATTACATTAAAGTTGTTCATTAAATGAGCGTATTTAATAATAATATTTGAATTCATATAGCAACTGACCTTAAGACCATCTTCAACGGTGAATCAAAATTTTCACTAAATTTGAGTAAAAAAAATTAATTTTTTCAATTTGATATTTCTTCTTCCAACCGTTCATCAAAAGGAGAGGGTCGATTGGTAAAGCAAAAAAATTTTTTTTTTTACCTGTTTGAGCCTTTTGACCGGTTTGAACTTACCTATTTGAAAGGGAACCGATCGACCGGTTGATCGACCGGTTGATCAACCGGCCGATCAATCGGCTGGTTGACCGGTTGGTCTTCTCCAACGGTCACGCACAGTAAAGTAGTGAAATCTGTCCTCTGTTCTCACTTTGATGAATTTTTTGGTGAATTTTCATTTTGATACCAATTTGCTGAAACCATTGGAGTTCCAAAAAGTGGTGAAATTTGTCCTTTGTTCTCACTTCGATGAATTTTTTGGTGAATTTTCATTTTGATACCAATTTGCTGAAACCACTAGAGCTCCAAAAAGTGATTTTTTCACCAAAATTTAAATCTGATGCCAGATTTGATTCACCGTTGGAGATGCTCTAACCACAAAAAAAAAAAAAAAAAAAGCCGTTTTGAGAGTGACTATAAACATTGGCTCCATTTATTTATTTATATGAATATTTACAGAATACTCTCTATGGCTCCATTTATTTATATATATGAATATTTACAGACAATACTCTCTCTCTCTCTCTCTCTCTCTCTCTCTCCCTCCCTATTTACAACATATAGCTAACTAAATTACAGTACAACAAGGCGGCCAACTTGCCCAACTTCTGAAGATGTGTAGTGGTACTACACGAAATCAAAAAAAATAGAACAGAAGCCTCTTGTGCCAAATCCCAATTCACTGACCACATTGGACCTTCATTGAGACATAGGGTGCAAACTCTACACTATGGTTCGGAAATTTACTTAGCCAGTGACAATCATCAAAGGAGCATTGTGGTCCATCAGTTGGGTGCTCTACATCAACGGGCTTCATGAATTTGGGTCCCCAAGCTGGGGTTCCATCCTCAAATGAGTTATGAGTCAATCTCCTTATCCCAGAACCGTCCGTTCTGATGGTGAAGATACTGCCGTAGGGTTGATACTGATGTGGGTTCGAGATTGGTTCAGCCGACACCCCAGCATAGTCTGTGGTAAACACAATAGTTTTTCCATCCGGGCTGAACCACGGGTGGTTGGCCCGCCCACTAGACCCGCTATGGACCAACTTCTTCAGCCCAGTCCCATTTGGGTGAACCATGTATAATTCAAAACTCCCTGAACCGGGCTTTTCCCGATCCGATGCAAAAACGATCCAATCACCATCAGGGGACCAATTGCACATCGTGTCCGTCCATAGGCCCTCTGTAAGCCTGTAGAGCCCACCCTTCTCTCCATCAAGTGCATCCATTATATACAAGTTCTTGTGACCCGACCTACCCGATCGAAACACGAGCCACTTCCCATCGGGTGAAGGAGATGGAAATGCATTGTTTTCACCACCCGTGGTCAGTTTATTGTAACTTGATTCTTCGTCATCATCAACATTAATAGAGATTACATCAACTTTCGTGCTCTCCGACTCAAATGTAGGACCCACACTTGTGTACACCACTCCCTTCCTTTTCGGATCCCAAGCAGTCGCAAAGGCAGTTCCGGTAAATACCTGACGCAGGCCCGACCCATCCCGTTTCACCACGTAGAGTCCCGGGAACTTCACGTAAGCGATACGGTCACCCGTGGGTGAGAAAGAAGGAAACTTCCCATCAATCCGAAATAGAGAGATTTCGGGTAATGGGCTTTGAATGTTTTCGAGTAACAAGTTGTTACCTTTTCTTCCATTGTCGCTCCCTCTACATCTATGGTATCCGACCAGTGTCGAATCGGGTGAGATAAACGGGTTTAAATGGTGATAATTTGGCGAAACGGGCCGGGTAACCTCAGTGAACTCTTTAGAAACGACGTCGAAGAGTTCTATGTGGCGAAACTCTGAATCGGGTCGTCTCGTTGCCACAGCAATGAAGTTCTTGTTAGCCACCGAAGCCGCAGGAGTGAAGGCGTGAAGACCCGGTGGGGTGACTCGTTGAGTCACAACCGAGTCAACACTAATTTGCACCATATCTTTAGGAAGACTCGCTCTGTAAACACTCCACCACCCATCCTCACTCCTCCGGTGAAAGTACAGAGTCGAATCGTCAGCCCAACTCGGCCACCCACCGTGATCCACCACCTTGACTCGGTCCGATCCGTCTTCAGTCCTGAACACATAAACATCAGTGTCAAGCTCTTCCACCTCACCCCTCCATCCTCTCTCTCCGGAAGACGCCACCGCCGTCCAAACCCCCGACGGCGACACGGCGGGGCTAAAATCAGCCACCCCATAAGGCGTCAGTCTCCGAGTCAACCCGGTTTTGAGCTGAGTCGAGTAGACAGCAGCCCAACTCGTCCTCGGCACGCCCGAGTCCTCGTGAGTCGAAACGTAAATTAAGTAATCACCCACCAAACTGGGTTTATCTTTCATGGAAATCAGGCCGTTGGATGGTTGATTGGTGATCAGAAGAGGGACTTGAACCCTAGTTGGGATTTGGAGGGTAGATCTTTTTCTGGTGATATCGGGACCATCGTAATAGAGTGCGTCCAGGAATAGGGACGATGATCCGTTGCGTTCGGTGACGTAGATGAGGAGGAGGGGAGGTCGTGATGATGGGGTGGTTGTTGAGGTGAGAGAGAGGAGAGTGGAGGTCGATGATGGAGAGGGAAAGTGACCGTTGTAATTGACGGAGTGACCATCGGTGATCTGGAATTCGATGGGGGGGTTGAATTGAGTAGAGTTGGGTTGTTGTATTGGGAGAGTGTAGATGTCGAAGGCATAGCTTGATCGACCGAATGTAGCGAATACTATGCTGGTGCGAGTGCTTAGGGATTCATGGTCTGCTGCCCAAGTATAGGATAGGAGGAGATTGATGATGATGAAGAAGAAGAAACAGAGAGGCTTGTTCATGGATTTCATTGTTTCTGCTCTGATATCTCTCTCAGTCATCTACTAATGTGTGTTGAATCCATTTTTGAGGCTGAGAGAGAGAGAGAGAGGGGAGAAATTATTGGTTGGTTTTGGGAATCGGGAGGGTTGTTTTTGTGGTGGTTTAGCCTCTCTTAAATAATTAATTTTTTTTTATTTTTTTTAATTGCATTATTTTTTTATTTTTTTATTTTTATTTTTTATAAAAAATTAAAAAATATATGTATTTATATCATTTAAAACCATTTGCTTAAAGATATTATGATCGTTAAAAAAAATAAAATTTATAAATTTATGTTAAATAATTAATGAATATAAAAAAATATATAGTAAATTATAATTGATATAGATATAAGTACGTGACGTTCCAAAATTAAACTAATAATTTTTTGAGAGAGGGTTGGGTTGTGTTGCGTTGTAAGGGATGACGTGTATGAGAATGTGGATATAAAAAATGTTTGAGAGTTTTAAAGAAGCTCTGTTATTGATTTGATGTTTTAAATTTTTTTTTATTATCACATAAATAGAGTTTAATTTAAAATTTTATTTTTAAAACTCTCTATCATTACCTATATGAAGATATATGTGGTGAATACTATGCTGGTGCGGGTGCTTAGGGATTCATGGTCTGCTGCCCAAGTATAGGATAGGAGGAGATTGATGATGATGAAGAAGAAGAAACAGAGAGGCTTGTTCATGGGTTTCATTGTTTCTGCTCTGATATCTCTGTCATAATCGATTTTTTGACGTAGAGAGAGAAGTTATTGGTTGGTTTTGAGAATTGTGGTGTGGTGTGGTGTTTTAATGATATTGTGATTGATAAAAAAAATAAATTTTATAAATTTATGTTAAGATTAACGGATATAAATATATATGATAAATTATAATTGAAGTAGATATAAGCATATGCATATGTAACATTCCAAAATTAAACTTAGTGATGTTTTAAAAAATTGGAAAAAAATTAATTTTTTAATTTTTTAAAATTTTTAATAATTTTTTTTAGCTAAAAAAGTTGTTTTTTTTGTATAAAAAAATAAAAATAAATAAAAAAATAGACTTTTTAGCAAAATTTCAAATTACCCCTAACGATTTTTCGAGAGAGGGTTGTGTTGTGTGGTAAGGGATGACGTGTATGAGGATGTGGATATATATGTCCCGATAGTGATTAATGTGGTTGGGTGGTGGTGGGGAATCGAGCTTTATCTAGAGTTTTGGGAATATTTTTCATTTTGTGTCTCTTAATTTTCTTAGTAGAGTTTAATTTAGAGTTATATTTTTAGGGCATGTTTGATTGAGTGGATTAGAGTATAGAATTGAGATTATTAATCTGTGAGACTAATTATCTTATGTTTGTTTTAACATTTTAGTTTAGGATTATTAATCCAATGGATAATTAATCCAACAAATTTGTATGATTATTAGGAATGGGGTAGGAGTAGAATTATTAATCCAATGGGGTAGGAGTAGAATTATTAATCTAATGGATATCAATCCAATTGGATAGTGAATACCAAACTAATTTAATAGAATTATTAATACTTCACTATTAACTTGTGAATCAAATATGACTTTAGAGCTCTCTATCACCATCCATGTCATGGTAAGTGTTTGGAAAATTGTTATTTCAGTATGTTATTTTAATTATTGACTATTTTAGTAGGTTAAAATTTTTATATTTAGGAAGATGATTAGATTTTTTTTATAGTTAGATGTGATATTTGTGAGAGAAAAAGTAAAATGATTATGAATTTGATGTAATATTTTATCTTATTAATTATTTTAACATATTTTATCTTTTGATACTATTTTAACCAAAAAAAATTAAAAAGCTTTCTTCTCAAACACCCCGATGGTCTGCTGCCCAAGTATAGGATAGGAGAAGAT